GGACCTTTGACCCCACATCAAACAGCCACTTTCCAAGCCCCAGGAGCTTCATAAGATCCGGATCACCCAGATATCTCAGTGCCGGCATCTGCTCCCCGCTCTGTGGCAGCGCGGCGAGGACCCGCGCGCGCCGCTTCCGCGGCCAGCGGCGCTGTGCATCGCGTGGAGCAGGTTGACTTGGAACGAAGAATCCTGAGCTCAGAAGAAAGCAACAGAGGTTAAGTGACCTGCAAAAGGACCCCAATTACCGGGGTACCGGGATAGTCGGTCTAGGGTTCTGAGAATCTTGGTTCAACGATGAGATCACTATCCCTGAGAATTCGACGAACAGTTCATCATCACGCTCTCAACCAATGATGCAAGAAACTGTTTGATATCCGCTTTCTCTTACGGGTTTGTCCGTGATCTCTGGAGGGAGTGTCCGGAAACGACAGTGTGTATACAATATATTCTTTCAATGTCAAGTGGCTCGGAACCTTGATTGAAGCATATAGACCATTGGATACTTTTCTTGGTTGTGTTTTGCACTCAGTTAACTTGTTTGGAAGGCAGGAAAGAAGGGAACCAAAAGGGGAGCTTCCAGGAGAACCACGATTCTTTTGACAGTTTCAATTTCACATCAAACCAACACTTCGAACCCAAACAGCAGAATCATAGAACCAATGTCCAGTGAAAGGTCCTTCGGCATTCCTATAGCGTCCGTGATCGTTCCATCAACTTCCACTAGAGCAGCACATTCTACTTCAAGTACTTCCAAAGTGAATGAAGAGTGGATCATCTCCGTCCAGGTCCATTCTTTCAAATGGAAAAGTCATTTTTTAAAAGAGATCAACATTTATGATGTGCTGCTGTTGCATCTTCAGATTTGTGAGTCCCCTATCGTTTTCACATGTTTTGGAACGATGTTAGAGGGTATCGTTTTGTTGTGAGTCCATTATTATCGTTCGCCAGGGTTTGGAGCATGCACATCTAGATGCAAGGTGTTTTATGCACTTGCAATCATCGCAAAATTTGAAGGCGCTTCACACCAGCCGGAGTAATATAATATGAAAGACCTGCGGGTCTTAGGCAGCTCAGAGCCCAATATCTCTATGCACCCAGCTATGCTTCCGCGCAGACGGTATGAAACACCGGTCATCTGCGCTCCGGTGTTTCATGCGGTCGCCTGACCCATCCATCCTGGGGACTGGAGATCTTGCACCATGGATGGGTCTGGTCCGGTCTGATGTCATCGGACTGAACCAGTCAGACTTCACAAAGCGCTCCACCAGGCTAAGCCGCTTAAGCGCTCAGCCGGCTAAGCTAAGCGCTCAGTCCCATGGGTCAGTCTCCGGTCGCTGGAAGCGGAGAACCATGTTTTTGGGTGACGAATCTTGATGAATCGGAAAGCACCCCCCAATTGGTGAAAGCCTTCAAACAAAGGGGCATTCCGAGTACTGAAGACTCTGAGTCTACATAAACATCAAGTGAGTCAATGTGAGCCACAAAACAAGAAGCCCGAGTGCCGAGTACCTAGTTTAAAAAACACACAAAAAAAAACCACTCCCCTGTGTTTTAATAAAATAGATGAAGGAGATTAGAACTATACAAACAGGTGGACCATGATGGACCATGATGGTGGACCTGATATGACGACTCCGACTCATCCATCTCCGTCCATCATTGCTCAGGGTACCGGTTGAGGCGATGTGAAGCGCAGCCAGCGCGCCCAAACAGCACAGCCAGGTCTTGCACATGGCGAGTGGACTTGCGTGAGTGGACTTGCTTCGAAAGAGTCGTGACTGTCTTGACCAGTTGTGTTTTGTTTTGTTTTGTCGTCTTTTTCCTGGTGCGTGCTGAGGTGTTTGAGGTGTCACTCACGGTGTCGCATTCCCTGCAAGTGGTTCTGATGTCCCTCAGCGGATTTCGGACGTTCAGCAGCTGGGATCCAAACTGAGTGTGACGGGACCAAACCATGACTGGGCTTCCATCAACTGGCATGCACAAGACCTGGCGGCTTTTGAATGTGTTTCTTCTCGTCTTTCGTCGTCGAAAATCGTGATTGGACCCTCCAGGCCTACATCAAGGTGTTGAACACATCACCTTCTCAAATTGTATGTGGGATCCACATATACAATTCTAATGAAATCATATTTACTTATTGTTTCTACTAGCTTCTTTTTACTAGTAGTACGGCCAGGAGGCCCTAGTAGCGCCCTTGCTCCTAGTAGCGATGCCAGGAGCCCCTAGTAGCTCCTTGGTCTCTCCGTTAAATCTGTATGATTCTCGTGGGTCACAAAGCCGCAGAGTCAATCTTTATTTTGGATGCGCGTAATTATTGTGCCAGGAGCAAACAAAAAATGAGTTTCCTACTGCATGTCTCGTGAAGCAGTTGACCTTTTCCCTTTCCTCTGCTGGACTGCCATCCTTTCAGCATGCACTGGACGAAGATCCTTTCCTCCGTCCCAGGTTGCCACAAAGCATTGTCCTGCGGGGCACAAGATCTCGCCTTAAATGGACCTCTTTTATAAGTCTGGAATATGAATATGAGACTAGCACTGGTCGTGGTTAAGGTAACCAGGTCGTTGGTAAATGCTAGTTTCTATGAATTATATCATGGATGTGATTAGGATTTGAGAGTGGACAAGAAAAAAAAGAGTTCGTGAGCTCCTGAGCCGATCTTTCATGCTCAGATCATGAGCTCTGAGGTGCGAGCTGAGCATATAGCTTCTTACAAACGAAAGGTACTATATGCACATGAAAACAACGAGCACATCCGGTGAACCTTTTGGGCCGATGAAAACATCGACATCGGACGTTCCAAAAGGGTGGGTTCTGAACCCCCCCCCATTGGAACTGACCCAGAATGATTGGCAACTCCTCCACCTTCACTTGGTCGTCCTGTGCCGAGCCTGTCCTCGGTCGTCGGTTTCTTCGCCTGGCGACGGCGACGGCGAAGCGAGGAGCGAGCCCACTTTCGGATGTCGAGTGGTGTCTTGAAGACACCTTATAAAGTCATGCAGCGCCAGGCGCCACGAGGGTGCTTGTTGTATCACCTTACTTAAGCTTGAAGGGTCCAAAAACCTTTTGATACTTTCTGAGGAGGTACGACTGGAGCCTTAGCGTAAGGAGGTACGACTGGATCCCGGACCTAGCCATATTCCGCTCCTCTTTAAGTGTGTAAGTGTGTGAAGTCCAAAGTGCCACTCCCAAAATCGAACATCACACTTGCCACACTTGCATGAATGACTCTGAAAAAGCACACCCCAATCTCGCTCCCAGATCAAGTCGCAGTCTTGCCTTCGATTCGTTCCTATAAGATCATTCTGTGCCACCATAGGAGGCGAATCAGTGGAAGAGAATCTGCTGGTTCCTCCACATCCCCAAATGCTCTATTTTCTCGCCCCATTTTCCCATCTCTGCGCGGGCCGCAGGCCAGCCACCCGCACGGAGGTTGAGTTGCAAAAAGACGTTCCCCCTTTGGGGAGCGCGAAGATCTAAACAATTGTCACTGGATGGCCGGCGTGATAGTTTTGCATGATTTGACTCTTCATGTCCAGAATTTCGCGAATCTTTCAGTCCGGGATTCCTGGGATATCTTGTGACATTCCCATCTTTAGTCTCATATTTATCTCGTCTTCGTGGAATCGCGCCAGGCCTAAATTTTGGAACATCCAATGTAACGATTTGTCGGTGCTTCGTTCCAACGAAGCCACCGCCACGCCGCACCAGAAAATCACGTATCAAATCAAGGGCACTCTTCAGCAAGTGTAGCTAGGTGTCACTTGTCAGAAAGGAATATTTCAAATGTGAATTCATCTGACTTACACCTGCTTGGTGCTATTGGCAGCGTTTTTGAGCTCTCACTGGATCTCATCATGATTCCGTCGCACTAAATGGCACATAGGTGGACAGCCCCCCCAAAAAAAGAGCAAACAAACTCCAAATCGGTGTCCAATTTCGCACATCACACTGGCTTTCTGGATTGCCAAAAAGCGGAACATCAACATACAGCAACCAAAACAACGACCAGTGATGACGGCCAGGCCTTCTAGCAGATCACAACGTGCCTTGTAACAAGCATCCGCAGCTGGGACCGGATCTCCACCGACACGGAGGGCGACACGGAGGGCTCAAACAACCCCAAGGGCTACGACCTCTGCGTGGCTCGTGGAGCTGCGGAATACCGTTGGCTCTGTGTCAGACTGATACAAATCTTGAAAGAAACGAGAAGAAGCAGCAGGTATTTGGATGTAACATACACCTGAAAACCCACCCCAGAGAACTTTTCTTTTTGTTGGGAGACTGTCCATCATCTCGCGCACCGGTGGGCACAGCTCTTGAATCGCTTGTTACTCTGTATCTTATAAATGGTTTCGTTTTTGACGAAAATTGAATGTGATTGAATGTGATTAATCCAGATTCAATTTGGTTGAAGCTTCACTGTTTTTGAGAGTTCAATTCGTTGGCTTTGATCAAGCTGTAACATGCAAGTTCTGTCCGCATAGAATCATGGCAAATTAAAAGAATAATTCGGGCTCAGTGAAATTGGGTTGTGTGGCTGAGCCCACCGACTTCCAAGGCCAAATGCCACTGGTAAAGACTTGCCGCCGCTTGAGCTTGGCATCGGATTCGCGATCCGCCACGCTCGATGCGATCCGCCCGGAAGCATGAGGACCTCCTTGGGTGAATTTCCGCCCCAGTCGTGATGAAGTGATCTGCGTGATTTTGGGACTCCGATCGCCCCAAGTCTATTTCCCCGCTTCTTCCTGGGGGGTCGGAGGTCTGTGGATGTCTTCATATCTCACCTGGGAAGAGACTCACATGGAACCTGATAGCGATCTGATAGGAAGACTATATATATTCCCCTACAACCTAGCGGTTCTCAGGTTCCATGGTGGGCAGGTTGACCCGGAGCCCTAATCCCTGGTAGGTTGATCTCCCTAGCTCTGTTCATTCTCAGTTCCTTCGGCGCCTCACTACCATCTGGATCTCGGAACGTTGGGCTTTTGGGAGTTACTTCACTCCTGGGACCTTGGAGTCTTTTCTATCTCGGCGCCCAAGCGTTGGGCACTTGGGCTGGCGACCGTATGTGCCAGTCCGGGTTCCGGAGAACCGTCCCGAGCGCCTGGGGAGGAAGGTCTCTTCCAACGATGGTGGAGTAAGTTCACCAACAACATCACAGCAGCAAAAAGGATTGAAGACCTTGGAAGAACAGGGTTAGAGGATGAATGAGGATGGGTTGTACTGTTTAGTATATCTTTCTGGCGGGGCATACTTTGAAAGTGGTAGAATTCGCAAAAGGGCACCGTTGCCGAATTTTGGGGCTGGACAAAAAGACCCAAGGAGATTCACATGGGGCGACGCGATGTACTCGTGGACGTCGATGTCACGCGCCGAGTCGTCGAGTCATGAGGGTTGAGTTGTTCGGCCCAGTCGGTAACTATCATTATACCAGCAACCTACTGGCGATGGCCTCCTACCCACTAGCGATGGCCTCTAACCCACCAGCGATTGGCCTCCAACCTACCAGCGATGGCCTCCAACCTACTGGCGATGGCCTCCTACCTACTAGCGATGGCCTCTAACCTACCAGCGATGGCCTCCAACCTACCAGCGATGGCCTCCAACCTACTGGCAATGGCCTCCTACCTACTAGCGATGGCCTCTAACCTACCAGCGATGGC